CTTACAAATTTTCAAAAAAGCAGTGCAAAAGGCTGAATTTTAAATGGATCAATTTATTCCTGGTGTAATTCTTACAAAGTCCACCTTAGTTTCTTTATTTTTTTTTCATATACCCCAGGAGCTAAGAGAAAGTAAAAATTGTAGCCCAGCATAGATATCAACTTTCAGACTGAAGCAGATATCATAAGATTTTACCTTACATAATTCTGTATATTTCCGTATTTATCGGGTGCATGTAAGAAAAAGCACCTTATGTCTGGAAGAAGAGAACAACTTGATTTTAAAGTTGAAAGACTTAAAATTGTGTTTTGAAAATATGTCTCGACCAAAGACTATAAACAAACGACAGTATCAAGCAATGATACACCTCGCTAAAATACTATAATATTATGAGAGAAGAATGGCAAACCTTAGAAATGTATACCTAGCTTTCTACCTAGAGATTAGATTTTATTTCGAGTCTAAATTTATCTTTAACGTTGAAAAAAGACTTGTTTTCATGTGTCGGGAAAATTAAAAGGTGCAAAGGGATTCCCTTATGACCAGATCGTGCCAGGGTTTCCAACGAATCAAGTTAACACTCGATATCTCAAGCATCCCTTATTGCCCAGAATGGTCGGCATCAAATGAGAAAAATTATTGAGGTGTTTCATTGACCCAGATTTCGGCGATGATTGGCGATCATTTGAAATCTATGAAACCCCTTAGTTTTTACTGTCGGGGTAGTCAGCGATAGTTTTAACTCGCTACCAATCCTTTAGTTGCTTGGCTACAGAACTTGCGATTCACAATTATCCATCTCACGATATATCGGCAAAATCTGAAATAGTTCTAGAAGTCCTGAAATCGACGATCGCCAGGCTTTTTTCCCAAGATATGAAACCAGACCTTAGAAACAGCTATCTACCACGCGATCGATCAGCCGACACTGAAAATATAGCTTACTTCAAAACAACCATTTGAATTATCATCAACATCATATTTCATAATATCATTAAATGAGCAGATATCAGTATATGAGCATCAAGATCTATCAGACCTGACATTATACTGCCCACACCTAACAACACCTGAATGATTCTTTAACACAGTGCTCAAATGTTTTCCCCTGAGCAGTACTACAAATTTCGGAGAAGAATCATCTGAACCGAGAAAGTTTACCTAGGTATTGCTATCGTGGAATTACTTTACTACCTATATACTGTCTAAAGTCCTCGTAAGACATGTCCACACAAGATTGTATCATCATGTCTTGGAATTTTTAAAGGTTAATTAGCATGGATTTAGGCAGCATCGATCATGTGACACACAGCTTCTTTAATTTTTGCACTCTACTGCAAAATTCCTTGATGCCGGCATACAGACAGATGTCATATACCTCGACATGGCTAAAGCATTCGATAAAGTTCCTCATGAGAAATTACTTTATAAGCTGGAGATGGTTGGTGTAAGGGGTCAACTCCTTGCTTGGTTTAGAAGTTATTNGAATCATTCACTTGCACCACACTGAAGTGTGAAAACTGTGGTACACGTCAAAGATCAAGAGATATCAAACTGCAGGCTTCAGCAAAAATTTCTATCACTGAATCAGAAGGTGACAACAGCAAAGAGATGTGGATCCAGGCTTTCACTGAGCAACTAGAAACCCTGCTGGCAGGATCAACCTTATCCCTAAAGGATAAAATCGATGACATTGAAGTTTATCTTATGTCTCTGGAAGACATTTGTTTGGTATACAATGTCCAAACAACAAACATTACAAAGATTCTCTCCTTTAAACGTCCAGAAGTACACTCTGATTAGCACATTGTCTGTGAACAGTCCAATACCCTTGTGTGATTGTCTCGGAGGACGTTGGAAAGTTAAAATTGTTGTTTAATACTGATGTAACATGTGTAGTCTCGGACTGGCCCATGCATCCCAAAGCTAAAAGATGTGCATCTGCTTTCCCAGGTGTTTGACTTTGAAGAACGTTATAGCAGTGAATGAAAAATATTTTGTTACAGTTTAGATTCATGTGTTAGAGATTTCGCTCTATACATCCCTTAATTAAGGATAAAATTAATGACGTTGAAGTTTATCTTATATTGTCTCGAAGAAAATATTTGTTTGGTCAACAATGTCCAAACAATGAACAATACAAAGTTCTTTCCTTTAAACGTCCAGAAGTAAACTCTGATTAGTTCATTCTGTGTGAACAGTCCAATAACATTGTGTGACTGTCTCGAACGATGTTGGAAAATTAAAATTATTGTTTAATACTGATGTAGCATGTGTTATCTCAGACTGGCCCATGCATCCCAAACTTAATAGTTGTGCTATCCCAGTTGAATGACTGTGAAGAAAAAATTTATTTAGTGATTCAGAAATATTTTGTTACAGTTCATATACAATTAAGAGTTGTTATTGTGGGTTCATTTTTGTTCTGTATTACCTTATATTATTCAGTTTTACACATAATTTTTAGAAAGGGAAGAAAACACACTTGGCTATCATTGCAGCACAAACTTTTGTATTGCAATAATGTAAAATCAAGAAACTTATTTTCGTTTTCACCATATTCACCTCAAAATTTAAAACATTTCACGTTGGTTGAAATACTTCACTACTAAAATTTACACCCACAAAACATGACTCCATTTTTTAACATTACCAATGAGTATTTCTTTTCATTGGTTGCTCGTTGGCACTTAGCGATAGCTATATCTAGTTGTTATTTAATTTTAGTTAGCACTAAGTTTTAACATGTAGCATTTTATTATACTCGTTTTATGATACTGCCTGTCATTATGTATACTTATTTTTGTTCACGTTTTCTTATATATAGTTTCTGGTGGCCTTTATCATTAGGGACGTTCATTCCTGTTGTTAGGTCTTCCAAGAGCTATTTACTATGATTATATGTTTGTACATACATATATTTATTTTCTGTAAATTTATAAGAGTAAAGTAAAGTAGAATTTGACTCGTTTAAGAAAAAGAAAGAAGCAGAAAAGAGCTTTTTCTATCTCAGGAAACAACAAAGAGTAAAAAAAAAGTATAGAAGAAGAGGTTAGTATGAAGGACCCAATTGTGTAGGAATATAGACGATCAAATGAGGTGAATGACCTCTATTAAAGGCTACAACCTCAGCATCATCCGATGACATTAAAGAAGCCCTGCTCTTCTGAAAAACGTTTCGACGCACAGATCTTAAATCATAAAATATCAAAGTAATATTTCATAAACCGAACATCTCCTTCGCAAACCGCTACTTTTTATTCTCTGTCGAAGCCTTTGTCTTATAAATATGTTAATATCAAATCTCTCCTCGTCGAGCTCTACCGCTTTTCCGCAAGGACAAAAGGTTTGCACGCCTTTTCATCGTCTACCATACCAAAGAGCGGCGGTACAACGATGACAGAATGATATTAAAAGGAACGAAGTAACAGTGATTTAAAAACAGTAAAATAAATAATGATGATAATAATAGTAATTATAAAAGTATTAATTGGTTGAAAATAATGAAATCGAGTTGCGGTGATTGAGAGATAATTTTAATAACAGATAACTCGGTTAATATTTGTTCTTAGTTTAGAGAGCTAAATTTGCAATCCTTTCGTCATGATAAGTGCATTTTAAGTGCTTCACCCTGACCTTTTGTTTTGAGTAATATCTATTTAATGTGATATTAACTCTCCAAGGTTTAATTTAGAAACTCCCACGGAGGTTCCAAAAGTACAAAATGCTGAAGTTTAATTGGATCAATCTATCTCTAATTACAAGCTGGGCTGGGATGCACCTAAAAATGGCACTTGTTCTGTCAGCGGTTTTTCAGATATAAA